AAAGTTGATAAAATAAATTACAAATTTTGTATTGTTCGATACATATGCGTACCAAACCAAAAGCTCTGTATCGAATGGTTCAATATCGATACGAGTATCGTTGCACCCCTAATATATACAGTACACTGTGCAGCAGGGGTGTCAAACATATGGGCTGGGGGCTAGAATCTGAATGACAACGACTCAGATCTGGTCCATTTATATTTGCATGGCCTTTGAAAATGTAAAGGAGGGCATAAATGTTGGAACTTTAACTGTATTTCCTTAGTTTTTACAGCTTTTACTATATTCATACCAAAACAAAGTAACTATGTGATAAACAATTAAGTGACAGGAAAGTACTTTTTTCAGTTTCTACCATAGTTTCTTTTCAGAAACAGATTTCTTTCATTACAGCACCATTTATTTATCATGCAGAAAAACCGAAACTTACAGTTTAAAATAAACATCTTTTTTAATACATTCAAATATCTCAGTTGTGATTTGGTTCTTGTCAGGGACCAAGCAGTAAGGCATAAAGGACACAGGTGTTTAATTTTAAAAAAGGGGGTTTTATTGACCCAAAAATATGAAAGATAATTAACAAAGCCAAAAAACTTAAACAGGCAGACCAATAAAAGAGGTCAACTCAATAAGCTAAACTCAAAATAACAACTAACGAAACCACAAACAAACATAAGACAAGCTGACCTTCTGAAATGACACACGGGTAACTTAAATACTGGCTTGGCTAAACCAAATGGCACACAAGGGGGGAAAAAAGGCTGCCATATAACCAACTATCCATCCATCCATCTATTCGCTTCCGCTTATCCTTTTCAGGGTCGCGGGGGGCGCTGGAGCCTATCCCAGCTGTCATAGGGCGAGTATAACCAACTAATACAAAACAATTAAACAAACTTGAAACAACCCCCAGGCAATGAAGCATGTGGTTTTGTCCAATTAGGCTGTCAGCAGTACTTCAGCTCTTCCAGCCCTTTGCCAACCAGGAAGGAGAAACCAAACCCCAGCTAACTCAAAGAAAGAAAGATATATTAATATAACATAAAACAGAACTTTGACATTGCAGTGTTAATATGTGTGCACGCCATATAAACATTGGAAGGTGTGACAGAAAAGAAAAGAAACAATATATTGGACAATAAGTAGAATATATTTAAAGTAGCGACTGCAAAGTTAACTAAAGTGAAGCAACTAGTGTTGAGGTGTGGAGCTTACCCTGTGTTGCTTCCCATCACAGTGCTATATAAATAAAACTGAACTGGTCTGGCCCTTCATATCAAAGTGGGTTGTGTGTGTCCACAATGTAAAATGAGTTTGACAGCTCTGCTCCGCAGTACATATACAACACAAAAGAAAATGCCTTAATATATTAGTGACTTTGGCTGAGCTTTAACGTAATTAATTAAATCTGATTGGCAAGTTAATGGCTATTATTGTTGAAGAAGTTAATTTTTTATGCGTCTGCAAGCAAGTACAGCTGCTGAAAAAAATGTTCATGTGCAACACTAATAGATGGAGAAAGAGCAGAAATGGGAGAAATATTTGAACTTTTTTTTCCCCAAAGGTGAGCACTGCTCAGCAAGTGACATTTGATAAACTTGAAATTTAAAGTTTACATGTGATGTCCTGATACGCTTTACACTTTTTAAAATCATTTATCGGCTTTCTACATCACGTTTTTCACTAAATTATGTTTTCATGAAACATCTTGCAAAACTAACTATAGCGCACTAAATGTTGTGTTATTCAAAGGCTGCATGAAAACACCGGGCAGTTTAGTGCAAGCTGAACTGTTAGTTTGCAGTGATGCACGAAGTTGTACTGGTTACATCTCGGTTACTGTTACTTGGTTGCATCAGCGAATGCAGACATCAATTTATTTTGATCGATGAATTTATATTTACTTTCTGAAGTCTATCTTTCATACTAGCTTTATTGTGTCTATGGGTTGGAAATCAGCCATATAGATCATGAAACATCTGAGTGTATTTTCATGAATTCATTTGGCTAAATCCACAAAGAGCAGTGAATATCCTAGTAGCGGCAAAATGTTGGATCATCCCAGTCTGTACAGAAAATATCACTGGAGGCCACAAAACAGCTTATGTGACTTATTTGTAAGTAGTTCTTTTCACCACGTCACACAGCTACACCCAGTCTAGGGTTCCCCCACCTGCCAAATCCCACTTTAACACCTGCTTACATTCCTAGCTGCTTTAAAGCCCACTAATTAACACATTTTATTGTGGGTAAGTCTAATTGTGAAAAAAATAAAAGCAACACTCTGACAGGCTGTTAGGTGCTGAACTATTTCTTGGCAGATGACTTTCTGGAGTCATGCCGTCATTGTGAGGTAACCAGTGGAGACTCTGGGAAGTTACTGGTCTGAGCCAAGAAACAGTCTGGCGCATAACCCCCCCCCTAATTTGGCTCTGGCTTAGGCCTGAACCCACAGACACAAGCTTTATCAGTCTTCCTATCATCCAACTGTTGATGAAGTTTTTTTTTTCTTTTCAAAACCAATGCACCATTGTTTTAATCATTAATTTAAAGCCCACCCTCTTGATGTAGAGCTGAGCTTGTTTCAGTGCAACCAAACTCACTCGCCCCACTCCACCCTTGGCTTTCATGGATCGCGTCATAACTCATTAACCAGCGTAAATTAAAGCTAGAAATTTGGTGTTCTTTTTCTGACAGTGGCCTCAAAAACAAATTCTCACACTTCTGATTTTGTTGTTCTACAAGCAAACTGTTGCGCAATAGGCTTATGTAATACGTATCCAGAAGATTCTGTATTGCTCATTTAAGTTCTCTGAAGTGACGTGCTACCTCTCTGTGACCCACATAAAGGCAAGCCTTACCGTGCCAGACTACTGTGGTCACCCCTGGGTTTCGTAACAAGGTTCGAACAGTCTGTTTTTCCCCTGTTCCCTATGGGGGAAAACTATTGCATAATCGCGTGTCTGCATTTGCAGGCCTGTGTGGCGGTGCTTTCTCCTGTCATTGTGTTATTTAGGAGCCACAGTGCAGCTTCGAAACATCCAATCTAGCCATCCATCTCCCCGCCACTCCTGCACCGCCTCACCGTGGCTGTTACACAATGTCCAGCTGTGGAGCACAGCAGTGTGTTGGGAGACATCTGCACCTCTCCTCCTGCAAAATCCCCTCATCACATGGTTTTGTTTACGCATAGCTGCTTTCAATATCCCAGCAATGTGAACAAAAGAAAAAAAAACAAACAAGGGGAACACACAAACTCTGTCCAAATGACACAAGGAAATACAGTCACAGGAAATGCATTCGCCACCAACTCTGCCCCAAGCCCACAGTGGCTTGTGCTGCATGCAAACCAGGATGGATGAGCCTGTTGCTCTGTCATATCACCAATTATGGCAGCGGCACGGAATCCTCACGGTATCTCATTGCTTCCCATTTTCCTCACATTGTCTGTGTCGAAGCAGTCACTGCGGTGTACCCAAACAGTATCTGGAATGTCTGCGGTAACAGAACTGGGAAGCACCGTCTCCTTTTGATCTTTAGCAGGGAGGTAGATGCTAAGTCATGTGTGAGGCAGCAGGTCTGGTAAGAGTTTGGCTGTGAGCTAGTTGGCAACGTTTCTGGTTTGCGGGCTAGCGATCCACGCTGGCCCCAGACATTTGTTGGCAGACCCGAGGCTGTAATGAAACCACCCAGAGTGTTTTGGCTCTCGCAGCCAGACTTCTGCTCTCAGTGTTCCTGCAACACTAGAGTCTCATCTTCAAACGTGTAGAGACCCTGTAATGCTCCACAGAGCTGTAACAGCCCACGACAAGTAACAATAATGTTTATCGTGTTTTATTTTTGATGTCCTGTATGCATCTGTTTTACAGATTTTCAGACGATTACACATTATGTTTAATTCTGTTTAAACTGATTACTTTTAATAGTAAGTACGCAATCCACATAATGACATCATTAAGTTAGAAACACATGTTTTAAAGAAAAATTGTCTTTACACAGCGATGCATGTACAAATGTTTCTAGTGTTTTAATTAGAAAAAAAGTGAGGCTTGGTTCAGGATAAATCTACTCTGGTCACTACACTGTATCACCAGTGCTAAACAGTATTGACAAAGGCAAACCCCTGTAGTTTCAGTAATCCCCTGAATCTGGTGACCTATCATCTAATCTGAGACTTTATGTTACTTTTGTTTGACTATGGCGTTACTTTATAGTTGCCAATATCTTAAATGTAGAATGTATAGAGTAAAAACAGGGATATTCTGCAGAATTCATTTACCCCTTTAAAGGCTTATACAAGTACCCGCCCTCCCAGTACGGTATCTTTGTGATCCATCACTCCAACTCCTTGTGAAGACACCACACCAGTGTCTGTCCCACACCTGTCATGGACACCACACGGAAGCCAATCTTCTCCAGCTTGTCCAGCACCAGGCGAGGCGGGTCATCCACGTGATACTCGGAACTGAAACAAGCATAAACAAAGCAATTCTGCTTTCCACAGATGTGGGGGTTTCTGCATCTCTCAGTAAACTTCTCTTGGAAAATAGAGTGCTGTTAATTGTTCTAGTGCTTGTTCACTTCCTTCCACACCTTGTTTCATTTGAATCAGATTGCCAATGGCAACACCTCCCTGATCTGTATTCCATCACCTTGAACGGTTTACTCCAAATCTGCAAGGCAGCAGCTTTCCTCCCCCCTCCCCAACCACACTGAAGCCTTTTCTTCTATACGACCCAATTTCAGCTCTGCTGTCAACATGTACATGTTAACTGCCAAAATGTACAAAGCATCAGTTTTAAGTGCCTAAATATGGATATGCTGCCCACTGTGAGCAAATTTACAGTAGACTTGGAAATAAAGTCTGCACGTCTGTGTGCAGCTAAAGATCAGAATGGAGGCAATGGTTAAATCTTACCCATTTACAATCACTGATAAAAATTGTTTCACAAAAATTATTGAATCAGGAGCAAAATCCTGTCAATCTTTGTAAGAGACATCAGCCTCATGGTGCTTAAAAGCTTGAGCTGAGATAGGCTTACAAAACTTAACCATTTATCCTTGGGCGTTTCACATGGTAGCTCTGAGGTCAAACAGTGCAATTTAAGAAAAATGAAAACAGAAAAACGCTGCAAAGACCCTCAACTAAAGTGTTTTTCGGGAGACAATAAGGTGAAGGATCAGCTACAGTAAATGGCTAATAGCAAACATCTATAGTTTATATAAATCATGTGATTAAATCACACAGTGCCTTGGTGTTACCGTCACCCCAAAAACACTTCCGTTCTGATTTATTCAACTTCCGTTGTGTTTTAGCTGCAAAAGATTTCACCTCTCAGGGCCATCATAACACGCTTCCCACATTTGACCTATATAGCTCCCATGATTACTGACTTGGGTACTCACAAGTTGTTCCCCAGCATAGTCGTTTTCCTCGCTCCCAGGTAATTCATGACCACTGGATCCGAAAATTCATCCCCCACATTTGTCGGACCGTTCTCCTGCAAGGCAGCATTAAGTGTATTACCCACACAGCTTAGAACTTACTCTAGAAATATTGGGGGGGGGAGACAGCATCCCTAAAACAAATTGTCTGTACAGCTCTCACTGATTGCACCTGCAGCCCTCTGGCAGGTGCACATGATAATCTCCAATATCTGAACATGCTAAAAATAGATGATCCGATATACTTAAAGGGCACTGGAGGAATTAGGCTGCTGGAGTCGTGGAGACAACAAAATGAACATGCGCAAACAAGAGGCCGACAACTGAGCAACATGTGTTTTTAATTGACGTGGCACACACACATACAAAAAGGTCCCACGCACGCTTCTCGCGTCTTTTGTAACCATAACTTTTTTCCCCCAGCGTGCCGAATATTACCGGCCATTGCATAACCAACCTTGGCTGATCAGTAGGCTAGTGTGCGCGCTGTTTGCAGTCAAATAAACACATCTGCGAGTCAAACGCGCCTCCCCCGACAGGATGATGGGAGTCGTTTACGTATGCAAGATACACACCAGTCGAATCTGTGTGCTGACGAACATGTACGGCATCCCGCTCGCTAGCTTTGCTCCGGTATTCCCCCAGGAGTGACTGAAAGAGGTGTCCTCACAGATAAACGGTGCCCTCTTCAACTCGAGCTCCAGCTGACTGCGCTTAGCGGAATGCGGAAACACCCACCGCGACGAGCCAATCACAGAACCCCTCTCAGCATCTGTCAACAGCCCGCTCTGCACAGGGTCTTGTTCAACTGGGATCGCTGGTTTGTTGATATGAGAAACGCGGGGCAATGTGCATGTACGAGAAGGAAATGTTAGTTTATAGTTTCATTTAACCAAGTCATTTTTTATTCTTCCAGTGCGAAAGTTCACTTGAAAATCTCATCATTCTTTGGATGGGAATTTATTTAATAAGCTGCACATTTATTAAATTACATTTCAGCCACAACCAATTGTGCTACACATTTTCTTTCATTTTCAGGCAACTTACTGCAAGTGGAAAGAAATGCAATTTCAGTTTCCGTGGTCGCTGTCGTACAGTCTGCTCTATGTATTTGCATGTATTTGTTTAATGCATGTATTATATTAAACCTGCACTGTCTAGAATTCTCTCCTTCCCAGAGATTTATTAATTTCCTCCTGAGTTCGGTAATAATAACTCTGGATCAGTCTTGTGACTGGGAGGGAAATGAAAGGCACAGACCAAAGGAAAGCAACAATGGTGGGAACTCCGATAAGATCAGTAATATGAATGTAATGTCCTGTGGATGCCAGAAAAGCCTGGTGGACTCTCAGTTAGGCTTTGCATGTCATGGTCAGTGGGAACAGTAATTTAAAGCCTGATCGCTGCTTAATAATGTGATGGTAGGCAGACGTGCATCCAGGCAAACCAGATTCAGAAATGTCCTGTGGTGCAATCAGTTTTGAAGGCATAAATCGAACCAAAGTGGTTTACCATCAAATCAAATATGTTTTTAAGATTAGGTCGTGTATTTGTCTTAAATTTAATACGTCTTTAGCAGTCTGAATTGACAGTGTTAAATGGCTTCTGACATTATACAGAGCCTTTAATGTGCATCTGCTTGATTCAGACTGGCATCTGTGAGTGGTGGGGACTGCTGAGAAGAGCTGACCTCTACTGGCTTCTGAGATCAGTGAAATTCATTTCCTATTTGTTTTATTTTCATTTTTTTTCATTAACAAGTTAGTTTTGTATTCAGTAAAATCAGCTTCAGTTTGGATCATCTGCACTACTCCTAGACATCAAAAAGAAACCAGCTGAGGTGGTTCAGCTCAGGGGACTCAGGGATCCCTCTTGGGTGTCTTCTGGGTGAGGTGTTCCAGGGATGTCCTACCGGGAGAAGGCCACTCTAAACAGATTATATCGCTCAGCCTGGCCTGGCAACACCTCAGCGTTCCCCTGGATAAGCCAGAGGAGGTAGCTGGGTAGAGAGAGGTCTGAGATTCTCTGATTAGGCTGCTGCCCCAAAGCCTGACCTGAGATAAGTGCAAAAAGATGGATGGACGGATGTGATACAAAATGAAAGAAACAAGTCTTCACCATTAAACCAATGAGATGTGCTGCAGGAGAGAAAACAGGAAGGCAGCAAAGTTATTGCAGAGGCTCCAAAAACAAAGCAGAGACCCCCTTCTTGCCAAGAAGAACCCTCTCTCTGCAAGCATGTTCCTATGCACTGAGACACTTCCTGTGCTCCTGCAGCGTCTTCCTGCACTCGCTCATCTGCTGCTGGTTAATAGAGTCCAGGGTCAACTCCTCTCTGACCCTGTGGTGACAGTGGAGCACATCCCTGGTGGGTCCATGGGAAGCAGCGTGATCTTTTGATGAGGTCTCTGCCTTAGCCCCTCTCAGCTGAAGTGTGACTGCCTGCTGCCGGAACGCTTCCATCAAAGCTCCTTTTCTCTACACAACAGTCATAAAAATACAACCAAGAAACACAACTGTGCTCAAGTTGAGTCTCGGCCTGTTTACAACATATGATATTGAAAACAGAAACAGACATCAATTAAATTCAAATAAATAAGCTTCATGTCTTGTACGTCCAATCCGGCCGTTGTGTCGGACATCCCACTCGCAATATCAAGCTTCACATGATCAATGCGTTTGATGGATTTACTTGCTGTGAATAGGCGTGGGCGAGAAATTTGCCCTGAAAGGGTTGCGCTGCTAAAGCGATCGCTCTAAATCACTGAGTGGGAACTGAATAGGAATGAATTATACAGCAGACAGTGTATGCATTTCACGATTTACTGTAGGTGTGTGCTGGGGTTATTATTCCACTATTCAGCTGAGAGATTTAAACTGTGGGAGATTGCAGACAACAGGCACCTCTGACAGACTGGGTGCTAGGCTTGAGCACGGCGTAGGTTTACATTTGTTTAATTGTGATGAATCACTGCATTGTGAGGCCATATACTTTTTTTCTTTAGAGCTTCATAATCGTGTGCCTGCAACTGCCTTGTGTAGCCTGTTTCTCCTCCAAGGAGCCTCGCGGTCCCTCTTTTGCAAGGAGATACATCACTGACCTCCTTTTTCTTTGCTTTTTTCCAGATTTCACCGTGCAGCTTACATAAAGCATCTCCGTGCTGCAGCGATATTACCCGACAGCAAGGTTCAGCTCTTTCCTCCTCCTCCTCTTCCACCACCTCCTCCTCTCTGTTTTCACCTCACCTCACCTCACCTCCTACTTTGAAATGCTGCGCTCACTGATAGATGACACAGCCGGCATAGCGTTATGAAACATGTGCGAGCGCTGTCACCGGGTTAACATTTTGCTGAGAAACACCAGGATGCGGTTTAGGCGGTTCTGCGTACTGAAAAGGAGGTTTTGTTTAGGGAGACTTTCTCCCAGTGATGAAGAAAAATGTCATCAAATATTTGGAGCAGCGTTTTCTCACACACTGTCTTTTCTCTCGTCACCTCAATTTAGGGCTTGATTTTGTGCGAGAGGCATGTCCCTTTGGCTTACCACAAATGGGATTGATTGGGCTATTAGTAACAGGAAACAACACGATGTGCAATAAACAGAGGGGAACAGAGAAGAACTTTACGAGGTCTTGAATGCATCTATCAAGCTATCAAGACTTTTTCTCTGGTCTATTCTGTGTTTCATTCTGAGGATTTGTAACCCCGACAGCCATCATTTAGCTGGAATATTTGTCTCTTTTTAATTTAGATTGTTGATGCTGTGAAAAAAGACAGAACAGTGATTTGCTTAAAATGACCTGGGACATGTCTCAGTTTATCTTAAATGTTCCAAGAACAGCAGTCTGAGATTGAAATCCTTTGGGATTTATAAGTAACTGAGCGGCTGCGCACCATTTACTGTTTGACAACATGATTAAAACACTTCCAAGCATGCCTCAGTCCTTAGTAAACCTCAGAGTTAAAGACTTACTGCAAATAAAGTCATAGTCGAGGGTTAAAGATGATTTGTCTGTCTCAAAATACTACTTTGACTACTCAGCCGGAATGTTGATGACATGTCTCCTTCGAAAGTCTGAAACTTAACAGGATTTATTGTTACAAGATGTTAATCTGTTTGGAAAGTGCCATATAAAGACAGGGTGAATGAAATGGTAAGTGTGATGGCTAATTGAACAGGGAGAGGAATGACAGCATGGATGTGTAGCAATAGGACTGATTCAAATCTCGATTCTCATCAGGCCTGTGGTCATTGGAATGTTTTGTATTATATGCCGCAGCATGTGGTTGCTGTTTATGCACAAGTCCGGCAGAAGTAATCTGCTCTGTGTATCTTACAGCTTCGGTACACAAGGGATGGCTTCTCTTAGAATAACTACCATGACAATGAGTTGGGCAAGAGCAAAGGGACAGCTTGGCTTTGTTTAATCCATAACGACGACAGAAAGACAGGATATTGTACCCTTCATTGTGCAAAGATTGCTGGTTTCCATTAAAATATGGTCGTAACAGCTGTGTAGTGTGATGTGTTATTATAATGACATGCTGGGCAGCAGCGACTACAGCTTTAGATCACATCAGTGATCAGAAGGCGATATGACGAGTTTATGACTCTTAGACGTGAGCTCGATGCTCTCAGCAGGTGAAAGATCTGGACTACAGAAAGGCTGGTTAAGTACCCAGACTCTTGTAGTAAATGCATGGTTAAGCATTATCTTGCTGAAATAAAGCCTGGCCTGAAAAATATATCAACTGGATGGGAGCACATGTTGCTCTAAAACCTGTTTATACCGTTCACTTGCCTTTTCAGATATGTAAGTTGCCAGTTCCATAGGCACTAATGCGCCCCTATGCTATCAGGATCCAAGCTTTTGAACTGCAACTTCTGACCACAGAACAGTTTTCTACTTTGCGTCAGCACATTTTAAATAAGCTTTGGCCCAGAGAAGACAGAAAGGCCTCTGGATTCAAATATGGCTTTCTCTTTGCAATGATAAAACTTGCATTTGTGCATGGCATGGCAAATTGTGTTTACCATGCCATCGGAGCTCATACAGTAATTTCTGTGACAGACTTATCTGTTTTTAATGGAGTACCCCCTGAGGGCCCAAAGATCACGGGTATGCAATATTGATTTTTGGCCCATGCTCACAGACATTTCTCCAGGTTCTCCAAATATTTTGATCATATTATGTCCTTAAGAAACTCTTCTATTCTACAATGCTCTTTAATCGTCAATGTACTGACCTGTTACCATTTAACCAAAGTAGCTGAAAAATGTTTCTGCAACTGTTTCTTTTTGCTTCTTTTTGCTTATCCTACCTTTTGTTTTTCACCCTGCCCCAACTTTGTTAAGATGCGTTGGTGCAATTAATTTCAAAACAGGCAAAAAATTGTCATGAAATGGTAAAATGTCTCTCTTTAAACATTTGATTGGTTTTCTTTGCTCTGCTGTGGTAGATACTAAAGTAGTCTTTAATATTATAGTCTGCGATCAACATTACAATAGGAGAACAACTTAAATAGATGTGTCCTCTACTTGCCCTGGCTACACAGGAAGAAAGACAACGCCAGAAAATGAGAGAAGATGATGTGACGATGATGTCATGGTATTTCTCATTCTGATCAAGGCCAAACGTCTTAAGGGATTTTCTTGCTGTACGTGATGTCCATCATCCTTCACATGAGAAACACAATTTTCGGATGTGGAGCTGCAGGTGTGGAATTCAAATCATGTAAAAAATAAAAACAAAAAACCCCACAAACGCAAATTCCACCAGCAACTAGCTATT